GCACATCACAATCAACCTGTGGGAAATCAGTAGTAAGGAGAAAATCCTAAAAGCAGCCAGAGGAAAAAATACAGGTTATGTATAGAACAAAGATTAAAAATTAACAGTAGATTTCTCAACAGAAGCTATGACAGATAGAAAGCAATAGAGTGACAGTTTTAAATTGCTGAAAGAGAAAACCATCAACCTAGAATTGTATGCTTAGTGAAAAATATCTTTCAAAAGCAAAGGCAAAATAAAGAATTTTGGACAAACAAAAACTGTGAGAGTTAATCACCAGGAGACCTTCACTGGAAGAAATATTAAAGGAAGCTATCTAGGCCAAAGAAGAATAGCACCAGATGAAAATTTGCAAGTTCAGAGAGGAATGAAGAGCACTAGAAATAATTAGAATATGGGTAAATACAAAAGATGTTTTCTGATTATTTTCAAAATTAGAGGATAATCGACTTTTTAAAGTAAAACTAATGATGTATTGTGGGGCTTATAAACATGTGAAAATAAAATATAAGCTAATAGTAAAACAAAGGAGGGAGTTGGAGGAAATGGATGTTTACCCTTTTAATAGTCTCATACTATAACTGAAAAGAAAGTATCATTTAAGGGCACAGTGTAATAAATTAAAGATGGATATAGTAACAGCTATATCCATTTTAGAGGAACAACTTTAAAAAATAGAAACACTAAAAAAAGAAGCATGACTAATGAGCCAATAATGTTGATAAATTGAATCCTAGAAAATGCTGAGTAAATCCAAAAGAAGGCAAGAAAAAACAAATAAAACCAATATTAAACAGCAAAATTGTATATCAAACCTAATTATATTGATAATCACGTTAATCGTGAGTGTTCTCAACACTTCCTTTTGAATAACTTGTTGGGCTGGATAAAGTAGTACAATCCAGTTATTTGCTCTACAAGAAACTCACTTTAAATACAAAGATACAAATGTTTTAAAAGTAAAATGATGGGAAAAGATACACCATGCAAATGTAAATCAAAAGGAAACTAGAGTTGTTATATTAATATCAGACAAAATAGACTTCGGAACAACCACCATTATTAGGGATAATGAGGGATATTACATATGACACAGGGGTAAATTCATCAAGAAGAGCTAATAATCCTAAAAGTGCATGCAGCCAGTAACAGCTTTAAAATGCATGAAGTGAAGATTGATGGATCTGGAAGGAGAAATGGACAAATTGCCAAATATATTTGGAAATTTCAACACCCCTTTTTCAATAACTGATAGAACAAGTAGACAAAAATCAGTGAGGATATTAAGACTGGAATATCATTATTAACTAACTTGACCTAATTAATATTTGCAGAGCATTCAATCCAGCAACAGCAGGCTATACATTTTTTTTCAAATATATTTTCTAAGGTAGGCTATATTCTGGGTAATGAAGTCTTAATACATTTTACATTTTCATATTTTTATGGCTATGGTGACAAACAACCACAAATGTATTGGCTTACTACAATACAAATTTATTATCTTACAGTTCTGAAGGTCTGAAGTCCAGAATGAGTCTCAGCTAAAATCAAGGTATTAGCAAAACTGTGCTCTTTCTGTATGCTCAGGGAAGAGAATCTATTTTCTTGCCTTTTCCAACTACAGAGACCATTCAGATTCTTAACTCGCAGTCCCATTTTTCTGTCTTCAACAGCAGCAATATCTAGCTGAGTTTTTCCTTACACCACCATCTTTGCTTCTCTCCCTTCTGCTGCCTTTTTCTGCTTATGAGGATCCTTGTGATTTCACTGGGCCCACTTGGGTAATCCAGAATAATCTCCATCTCTCCAGATCAGCTGATTAGCAAATTCAACTTCCTCTGGAACTTTAATCCCCCTTTGCCACATACGGTAACATAGTCACAACTTCTGGAGATTAGGACATGGACTCTTTGAGGAGGGACATTATTCTGCCTACTACGTTTTAAATGTAGTTGAAATGTAGTTTAAATGGTTGAAATCATGTCAAATATATTCTCAGATTACAAAAGAATTAAATTAGAAAAAACAAAACAAACCCCAGAATGGCATTTGGAAAATCTTCAAATATTTGGAAACCAAATAATATACTTCTAAGTAACCCATGCATCAAAGAAGAAATCACAACCCTAATTATGAAATATTTGGAAAAGTAGGGTGAAATCCCAGAGGAGCTGATTGGAAAAAAGATGAAGATGTAGCTACTGGAGTAGGACACTCTGATTCTGTGGAGCAACAGTCCTGGCACCTGCGGAGGGAAAACTGTAGACTCCAAAAGGTTAAGAGTGAGGGATACTTAAATCTCTTTTCCTCCACAACCTGAAAAAACAGTTGTATGATCCACCTGTCAAGTAGCAACTGGCCTGCTGCTGAGGTGGTCATTTCCATTCACATGCTATGAAATCAGAAAAACTTACATAGACACAGAAAGCCCAGAACTATTCTACTATACCTGCCATCAGCAGGAGCTCTGGAATGTGGATCTGCTCGTACAAACACATGGTCTGGCATAAGTTTGTCTCAGTCCTATTAGTGTTAATTCATTTGTTTCTCCTTTGGCCCTGGGAGTCTCAGGTTATGTGGCAAAATGTATAATATATAGTTGAGTCTGCTGCCCATGAGGCTTAGACACACTGGTGTCATTGTGATCCAAATTAGATTTAACAGTAAATCTCAAACGGGAGACACTTGTGCTCCTTCATATTCTGTGTTTAGACCTAGGGGAGAGTAGACCATGTGATGCTTTTCCATTGGGTTTGGAGGTTGCTTTTTAGCCCATCTAGTTCCTCCTGCAGTTATTGACGATAAAAAAATCAGCAGATCGTTTTAAACTTCATTGTATAGGTTGTAAAATATAATAGACTGTCCTGTCCTTAGACTGCATCCTAGCTATCTGAAATAAGATCTACTGTTCATCCTTCTTCCCGACTTAGTCACATTTTACTAACTCCAGGAACCTGGAAGGCAAGGCTGTGGTCAGTACTGCATGTTGGCCTCATCCTGCTGCTTGGGGTCCCATTGATAGTAGTGTTCATTAGATGCTGTGTGAAACAAACTAACATATTTGGTTCTGCCTCTGTTAGATTAATTAGAACGGCCAACTAAATGGCACACTCATGTAAAAATTTGCTAGAAACAAAGAGTAGATTGTTGAGAGAACCCATCTTGGTTTGCGGTAAATTTTCATGTGGTTATGCCATGTGTCTCTTGTGCTCCTGAACATTTTGCTGGGCCTTGAACTCATTTTAAACTGGGCCATTTCTGAGTTTTATGTTTGCAGGGAGCAACCTTGAAGGATGAGACAATATCTCTGTTTGGGACAAAGAGTAGACTTGCTTATTGTGTGCTGTAAAGTGCTGGATTCCTCAAGTTCATTGTTGTTTTCCTGTAATGCAAGCTGCTGTATGCATAGGCATCTATCTGGGCCTATTCATATCACCCATGAGACTTAGGGCCAAGAAGAACTGTCAGCATGTTCATGATGCCTGCTGTGCCAGGCATAATAAAGCCTTTTCTCTCTGACTCAGAAGTGTTGTCTTTTGCCAGCATCCATGAAAAAAATAGCAAGCTAATTATTGGTGAAGGCCTATATCCCTCAGACAGAATTAAGACAAGGATGTCTATTCTCATTATTTCTATTAAACATTATACTGGAGGTTCTAGCTAGTGCAATGAGACAAGAAAAGGAAATAAGAGGCATGTAATTTGAAAAGAAGTAAAACTATCTTTATTCAGAGACAACAAAATTATGTAGAAAATGTGAAGGAATCTACAAAATAGTTACTGGAAATGGTGGGTTTAACGGTGTCATAGGGTACAGTGTCAGTATACAAAAATCAAAACTATATGTCAGTAATAAATAACTGGAAGTTAAAATTAAAGTATTACTTAAAGTAGGCCAGGCACGGTGGCTCATACTTGTAATCCCAGCATTTTGGGAGGCCAAGGTGGGTAGATAAAAACAAATTACATAAAATAGCATCAAAATAAAATAAGTATGAATAAATTTTAGAAAACTATGTAAAACTTGTGAACTAAATATTATAAAACATGCATAAAATAGAAAGATATCTTGGGATCATATATTGGGAGGAATTAATATTGTTAAAATGTCAGTACTCTCCAAAGTGACCTACAGATGCAATATAATCCCTATGAAAATCCCATTGGTTTTTTTTTTCAGAAATAGAAAAATACGTTCTAAAATTCATATAGAATATCAAGGGACCCCAAATAGAAAATTCTTGGAAAAGAACAAATTTGGATGTCTCACACTGCCTGATTTCAAAACTTACAAACTACAGTAATGCAAAGAGTGGTACTGGCATAAAGATAGACATACACACCAGTGGAGTAGAACAGAGAGCCTAGAAATCGACCCATACGCATATGGCCTAATGATTTTCTATGACGATGCTGAGATCTTTCACTAGGGAAAGCACAATATTTTAACGCCTTGTTTTGGGAGAACTAGATATACGTATTGCAAAGGCATGAAGTTAGACCCTTAACTGCTATGATTAGAATGTTTTCATCTCCTCCAGAATTTATGTTGAAACTTAATTGCCAGTGTGAATGTATTAAGAGTTAGGGCTTTAAAGAGGTGATTGAGTCATGGGGACAGAGCCCCATGGATGGGATTAGGGTGCTTATGATAGGGTTTGAGGGAATGGGTGTGCTTCTCTTCCACTCTTCTGCCAGTGAGGACACTGCATTCCTCTCCTCTGGAGTATGCAGCAACAAGGAGCCATCTTGGAAGCAAAGAGAGCAGCCCTCACCAACACTGAACCTGCAGGTGACTTGATCATAGACTTCGCAGTCTTCAGAACTATGAGAAATACATTTCTGGTGTTTATAAATTACTCATTTTGTGGTATTTTGTTATAGCAGCACAAGTGGACTAAGACATTTACCTTACATTATATGTAAAAATTAACTCAAAAGTGATCAAAGACCCAAACATAAGAGCTAAAACTATAAGAACATAGATATGCTCATAGAAGAAAACGTAGAAGGAAAGCTTCATGAAGAGTTTCATTGGATTTAGCAATGACTTCTTGGATATGATACCAAAACATAGATAATAAAAGAAAAAATAAATAAATTGAACCCATTGAAATTAAAAACTTCTGTGCATCAGAGGACACAATCAAGGTTGAAAAGTATCCTAAGAATGGATGAAAATATTTGCAAATCATGTATCTGTTAAGCAGTTACTATCCAGAAAATGTAAAGAACTCCTACAATTTAACAAAAATACAAACAACCCAATTAAAAAATGGGCAAAGGACTTGAATAGACGTCTCTCAAGATACACAAACCATTTTGTATAAGGCACAAGCAACAAAAGCATAAATAGATAAATGGTATTACATCAAGCTACAAAGCTCTGCACAGCAAAGAAAACAATGAAGTGAAGAGACAACCTACAGGATGGGAGAAAATATTTGCAAACTATTTATCTGACAAGGGATTAATAACCAGAATATGGAAGGAACTCAGACAACTCAAGAAAAAAAATCTGATTTTAAAATGGGCAAGATACCTGAATAGACATTTTTCAAAAGAAGACATACAACAGGTATATTTTTCATATACCTGTTGGCCATATACTTCATGGCCAACAGGTATATGAAAAAATGCTCAGTATCATTAATCATCAGGGAAATGCAAACTGAAACCTCAATGAGCTATCGCATTACAGCTGTTAGAATGGCTATTATCAAAAAGACAAAAATAATAAATGTTGGGATTGTTGGATCATATGGTAGTTCTATTTTTAGTTTTTTTGAGGAATCTCCACACTTTTCTGTAATGGCTGTACTACTTTATAGTCTTACCAGCACTGTATGAGTGTTTATTTCACTTCGGTCAGAATGGCTGTTATCAAAAGACAAAAGATAACAAGTTTTGGCAAGGATATGGAGGAAGGGAAATCCTTACACAATATCGGTAGGAATAGAAAGTAGTAAGTAGTACAGCCATTATGGAAAGTAGTATGAAGGTTCCTCTGCAAACTAAAAATAGAACTAGTATATGATCCAACAGTCCCACTGCTGGCTGTAAATCCAAAAGAAAGAGCATCAGTTTATTGAAGAAATAATCTGCACTCCCATGTTTATTGCCACACTAGTCATGATAATCAAGATGTGGAATCAATGTAATTGTCCATCAGTGGGTGGGTGGATAGAAAATGTGGTATATATACAAAGGAAAATATTCAGCCATAAAAAGAATGAAATTCTGTCATTTTCTGCAACATGGATGTAACTGGAGGTCATTATATGAAGGGAAATAAACCAAGCACAGAAAGACAAATATCGTATGTTCTCACTCATATGTGAGAGCTTTTAAAAAAGTGAATCTCATAGAGATAGAGAATGGAATGGAATCATAGTTACTAGAGGCTTGGAAGGGAAGTGGGGAGAGAGGGGATGAAAGAGACTGGTTAATGGGTACAAAAATACAGGTATATAGAAGGAATAAGTTCCAGTATTTGATAGTATAGTATGGAAATTATAGTTAATAATTTATTGTGTATTTCAAAAAAGCTAGAAAAAAAGAATTGTAATGTTCCAAGCACAAAAAAACATAAATATTTAAGATGATGGATATCCCAATTAACCTGATTTTATCGTTACACATTGTATACAAGTATCAAAAAACAGCACATGTCCACCCCAAATGTTACAATTCTGATATAACAATGCAGAAGTACAACAAAAATTTAAAAAGAAAGTATCCAGATCATCAGCAAGCACACAAAAAGATGTTCAACATTGGGCGGGTGCTGTGGCTCACACCTATAATCCCAGCACTTTGGGAGGCCGAAGTGGGTAGATTGCTTGAGTCCAGGAGTTCAAGACCAGCCAGAGCAACATGGCAAAACCCCATCTCTACTAAAAATGCAAAAATTAGCCAGGCGTGGTAGCACACACCTGTAGTCTCAGCTACTTGGGAGGCTCAGGTGGAAGGAGCAAGACTCTGTCTCCAAAAAAAAAAAAAAAAGATACTCTATGTCAGTAATCATTTGGAACATGCAATTAAAAGTACAGTGAGATACCACCTTATACCCACTAGGATGGATACTGTTTAAAAAAAAAAGTAAAGAAAATAGCAGTGTTGGCAAGAATGTAGAGAAATTGGGAACCTTGTGCATTGATGTATAATTGTTTAGCCATGGTAGAAAACAGTATGATGGTTTTTAAAAAATTTTTAAATATAATTACCATATGATTCAACAATTTCACTTCTGGTAATATACTCAAAAGAATTGAAAGCAGGATCTCAAAGTGATATTCGTATATCCATGTTCATAGCAGTATTATTCATAACAGCCAAAAGGTGTAAACAACCCAAGTACCAATAAACAGACAAATGGGTAAAGAAAAGTGTGATGTATACATACAATGGAATATTACTAAGCCTTAAACAGGAAGGGAATTCTGACATATACTACAGCATGGATAAACCTTGAGGACATTATACTAAGTGAAATAAGCCAACCCCAAAAGGATATTTCTGTATGATTCCACTTCTGTGAGGTACCTTGAGTAGTCAAATTTATAAAGGCAGAAAGCAAAGTGGTAGTTGCCAGGGGCTGAGAAGCGAGGGAGTGGGAAATTTACAATGGGTATAGAGTTTTGGTTTTGCAAGGTGAAGAATTCTGGAGATTAGTTGCACAACAATATGAATGTACTTAACAGCCCTGAACTGTACACTTAAAAATGGTTAAGATGGTAAATTTTGTCATGTGCATCTTCCCTTAATAAAAAAATTTGCAGAAATTATATATCGATGTCAAAATAGTGTTTCTGATCTAACAATTGATAAGCTCTGATGATAGCTTTAAATTTTAAGCAGCTTTAAAAGGCAAAGTTTAACTCAAACTTGTTAGTACAGTTTTCATCTTTAAATAAACATTTTTTCCAGTCATAAACTAGAGTTGGGCTTGGGAGAAATATTAGAATTTAGTGTGAGTCTGTGAGAAGCATCACGAAGTTCAAAGAGGTCTGACTTGGTATCTATGTGGTAATGCTTTGTTCGAATGTTGATATTTCATCAAGGATTTACATTTTATCTTCCCACTTGTCATAGGCCTATGTCTGTGTAACAAATTGAGCGTCACCAGTTGGATGGAGTTAAGAGCCAAACATACAACATTGTGCCATTTACAAGTTTTATTTCAAAAGGAGATTTAAATTTTTATACAGTTTCTGCCAAAAGAGAGATTCCAAATTAATTTTTGTTTATGCAAAGTCCATATGTTGTTTTCCACAGTCTCAGAAGGAGTGCAAATTGACAGATTCCCGCATCTGTATCTCATGGGGTACATATGTATCATCGCTACCACTCACTTATTTCCTGCCAGGTTTTTAGCAATTGTATTTTAAAAGAAAACCTGTAGAAAGGTAGCAGAAAACAAATGGGTAGTAGGATGTGTGTCAGCTGGTTTTTCTCTGACTATAGAAACCCTTGAAATAAGGCAAAAAGCTTGCGTTAACATGGAAGAGGAAGGAAAGATTGGGCAGCAGGAAACGGAGGGGCCCCGGAAGGAGCAGTGGGCCCTCATGAGACACTTGCCTGCTTTATAATTCTTTCCATTCTGACTGTGGGAGGTATTACTGTAATACCTTCCTAGATATAGCAGCTGCTCAATAAATGTTGACTCTTTTTTTTTTTTGAGACAGAGTCTCCCTCTGTTGCTGGGGCTGGAGTGCAGTGGTATGATCTCAGCTCTCTGCAGCCTTTGCCTCCCAGCTTCAAGTGATTCTCCTGCCTCAGCCTCCTGAGTAACTGGGATTACAAGCGCCTGCCACCACGCCTGGCTAATTTTTGTATTTTTAGTAGAGATGGGATTTCACCATGTTGGCCAGGCTGGTCTTGAATACCTGACTTCAAGTGATCCCCCTGCCTTGGCCTCCCCAAGTGCTGGGATTACAGGCATGAGCCACTGCTCCCGGCCAAATGTTGACTACTTTTAATGACTGGTTAATACCTATCGGAAGAAGAAATTACATGTTGGAGTTAAGAGTTGTGTTTTTAGCCTTTTAACTTGAATTAGACACTGATGATTAGTAATTTTTTGTTCCTCCCAATTTTCTTCTATATTCCCTCTCCTTCAAAGAAAAGCAAAAGAATTTTTCTTGTTCTTCCCATTTTTCTTAAAATGAATTTAAAATTTTATCATCTCTATATATCTATGTGAATATATATTTATATGCCCCTCTTCTATAAAGCAGTATTTGATTTGGTACCTATGGATAACCATTAGCCTAATATTGTCATAATTACAATTCAATTAAGTTTATAACCTGACTTGTTTCACTAGTTGTGAAGTGACTATGCATTTGTTGGCATTCTAGTTTAAAAACTTTACATTTGCTTGAACCAATCTGTCTAAATTTACAGAACAGAGTTCTTACAAATGTCTGATTGTTTATTTTTAAATTATATTGTTTCTATGTCATTGCTTGTTATTTTTTTAATAGAACTGAAAACTTTTTTGATTTTATGAATATTTATGTTTTGATTTGTGTAAATTCATTAATTTTAGGTCACAACAAGGAATATTTTATCTTTCAAATTTAATTTAATTTTTATTTTAAACTTTTATGTTTGGGGGTACATGTGCAGGTTTATTACCTGGATATACTGTGGGATGCTGAGGTTTGGAGTGTGAGTGATCCTGTCATCCAGGTGCTGAACACAATACCCAAGAGTTAATTTTTAACCCCTCCCCTCACCCATCTAGTAGTCCTCAGTGTCTGATGTTCCCATCTTTATGTCCATGAGTACCCGATGTTTAGCTCCCACTTATAAATAAGAACAGGCAGTGTTTGGTTTTCTGTTCCTGCATTAATTTGCTTAGGATAATGGCATCCAGCTGCATCCATGTTGCTGCAAAGGACATGATTTCATTCTTGTTTATGGCTGCATAGTATTCCATGGTGTATATGTACCACATTTTCTTTATCTAATCTGCCATTGATGGGCACCTGGGTTGATTCCAT